CCGGCTCCACCACCCCCTGCCGCCGGCGACGCTGAGAAGACGGACGACGATCCTGCGCCGCCCAGCACTGGCGACGCTGCCACAAATGATGACATCGGCAGAGTCTCCCAGGCGCAAATGGAGGCATTTGCGCATAGGATGGCCACGAAGACGTTGCGGAAAGACGACAATGTCATGACTACCGATCCGCGGGCTCTAACGTCCCACGAGAAGCGGAAAGCGAGCTGGGCCGCCCGAGAGGAGGGCAAGTACGGCCGCGCCTTCTACGTCACGCGCGCCACCGGTCGATACGTGGCCAACCTCACCAAGATCGGACTCAAGGCGCCCGTCGCGATGATGTACAATATCGCCAACGGCTGCCACAACTATCCCTCGTACGGCAATTTCGGCGTCCCCGTGAGGCCACGAGACCCGATCACCGGATTCGGCACCGGTCTCAAGGCGGCTGGCAAGGGGTTTTACCTGAGCGTGTGGGACGCCTTCAGTGGCGTTGTCGTGTTGCCGTACCGTGGCGCGAAGGACGGAGGCGCCATTGGCACGCTGAAAGGCATCTACCAAGGCGGACGCGGCTTCACTTATAATCTTGCATCAGGTACGTCGTCCCGTTTGCGCTGACCTTGGTTCATGGAGCTTTGCTAACACGCTGTAGCACTTTTTGCTTTACCAGGATATTCAATGAAGGGCATAGAGAAAGAATACTCAAGGCACCATCTGACCAAGCTGAAGGCCGAAATCTTCCTCATCCGAATTAGGCAGGGGATCGAGGAATTTAGAGAATCCACTCAAGAAGAGAGGGACGGGGCAGTGGCGCAGTGGAAGCGGTTGCGGGCGTTGTAAGGGCTTCGATTTGGGCTCGTAAAATTTTCTAGACATAGCAAGATACCCCTTTGATTCTCTTCATGTTCTTGGAAATTAGCCTTGTCGATCCAACATTTGATGCATATACTCCTGTGACTGAAGGTGACTCAAATATACAAGGCGAGGGCTGGCGTTCATATTTTGCTTTGTTCCGCAAGTAGACGTTTAAATGCCACGCTCCTGCGTCTCCTTCACGGGCGACGGGCAGGGCTCCGTCTGTCGTGACATTGTTGAGCCAGGCCAGAATCAGACTTTTGCGGCGCATGCACTCATCGAACGATTTCGATAACCCTGTCTCAACTTCCTGGTCTACCTGAGCGACTTCAGAGCGATCGTAATGTACGCATGAGACAGAGTGCGATAGCCAAGTAGTCATTGTATCGGTCGCGAGTGGATTTTGGTCGGATATCTCGGTTTCGTCCTGGGATCGCAGGCGGCCTCATATACTTTACTGGAAACAAGCTGTTGTAGATCTGTTAAAATTGAGCCGGGGGGCCTGCCACCGCCTGATAGAAAGCCGTGGTGGTGCCACCAGAACAAGCCATAGCGGGGAAGCTGGGGTTTGAAAGGACTGCCAAGAAGGTGGAATTAGACTGCCGATGCCTGCGACAGCTCGATTGGGGAACAGCTACTCCCCTCTCGTTTCCGGGGGCGCAGGCGATCGAATCGTCAGTCCGTGTTCGCTGCGGTTGACCCAAGACTGAAGTCGTACGGAAAAAGGCTGCGTACTGCTGTACTTGGTCATAAAAGTTCTACCTGCATGAGCAGGCCATAACTTTAAGTGTAAAGTTTTGTACATCTCGTTGATCACCTCCTTCGTCATTGCGGCCACTGGTGGCGTGATGTTGCCAGACGCCCTGGCTGTTTCGAACCTTTCATGTGCCTTGTAGTATTAGTACATACCAGACTTGTTTGACAAAAGCTCAGCATGACGGTGAAGAGGTCGGGTCATCGTAAGCTCTGTTTTATCGCCTTTCCATGCGATAAGAAGCTTACCAGTCTCGTCCACAAGACAAGCAATGCCTTCCGAAGGTGGGCGTCGTAGTCATTACTAGTCGTCAAAGAAATCAAGAGAAACAAACGACTATTCATCGCCCATGCGCGGCTGGGGCACGGGGAACGGGCATCCCTCCGCATAAGTAGCCAATGCTCGGCAGTTCCACTGTGGTCACCCACTTGCAAGTGTCGGGAGGCTCGGGGTTTGATGCAGCACCGCACCACCTAAGACGAACAGGTGAAGTCATCATCGTGTCGACCAGTTGCGGGAGTTATCCGGGTGGCTGTGTTGAATGTGATGAGCTTGAGATATTTGTCGCCAACAAAGAAGCTTGAATTCAGGCTTATTGAGCCAGTGTCAGCATCGCGTAAGGGGTAGACGCGTCAGCTAGATCGAATTTTGGAGGGTCCATCTTGCCAGCCTCGTCTGGACCACGCAAGAGGGGGCGGTGGGTGATTCCACCATGGAGAGGAGGGGCGGCCAAATTTCGCCGGCCCTGAGGCCTGGGACCCCAGTATTTACATCCCGCCATACTCGTGGGATCGATCAGTGGGTCGTCCGGGGATTTTGATGATCGGAGGACAGCCGACTGAATACCCCTGCCACGTGTGGTTACCGGACGCAATGTGCTGGTACAGACTCTCGGTTTCGGATGGATACCGACGCAGAAGGTCGATCGCTGTCAGACAAGTTAAAGGTTCATCTAGACGCGAAAATTTGAACGGCAGAAAACGATGTGTCCAGGGCTGACGAGCTACAGACGTTGGATCATCTCATCGAACTCAATCAGCTCGTCACGTCGGCCCTCGGTGTCGTGAGCAAAGCCGCCTGGCTGTGAGTGGCCGCAACCGATGTCGCAAAGGATGTCGTCTTGGTCGATATAACGTTTCTTCAACCGAATAAAAGCATCCATGACGACACGACTTTGGGGAAGCTCGCCAAGGAGCTTCGTCTTAGTCAGGGGAACGCCGTATTGGGACTCAACGGAGCTTCACGATTGGCTGGTGCCACAGCAAGTGCATCCTCCAAGACCCCTGTCCTTGGCGCCTGCCCCCTCCCTGCGTCCCTGCCCGTCTGCATAGCGACACTCGCTAAGGATCGGGCAGGTTCGAACCTGACAAGTGTGGACGCCTCCTTCCCCGGGACCAACGAGCTGCTTCCCACGATGGGATAGGTGAAATCGACAATGACCATGGCGGTGTCTATGGTGTGTTTTGGTGGGATCGGCGCAAGCTTCTTTCTGGTCCTGATTGTGTTACTGAGCCTGCACAGCCCCTGGATGTAACATGTCGTCCTGGGTTGGGCCGCCTTTGGCATTGTCATTGACTGCCCTGTCATGGCGAGCTCACTGTTGACTTTGGTTAGGGAGGGTATTGTCGAAGCTGTTTGCCCGCGCGTACTTCAAGACAAGCTCCCCGCCTCTCAAAAGACACCATCCAGACACAGATTCGACATCTTGCATCCAGAGCTCATCCATCAGCCTCTATCACGCAGCTTCCCTCTGCAGTCTCTACACAACACACACACATCCTCACACAACGAACATCATATTCAAGATGAAGTCCTACGCCCTTCTTCCGTTCGCTCTGTCGGCCCTCGTCGCTGCCCAGGATGCTCCCTCGCTCGCTGAGGCCCTCGCCTCGCAGAACGACACGCTCTCTTCCCTCGGCAGTGTGTAGTCACCAACTTCAACATCGGAACCTCATGCTAACACTGACAGGCCTTCTTGCTGGCCAGCCTGCCCTCGTCGAGGCCCTCTCCGGCCTGACCAACATCACCATTCTCGCTCCCAGCAACGACGCCCTGAACGCTCTTCTTCAGGACACCGCCGTTGCTCAGCAGGTTACCTCTGATCCCAGCCTCGTGGCCGCCATTCTGCAGTACCATGTCCTGAACGGTACTTTCCGCGCTGCCGACGTGCCCGATTCGGCTGTCTTCATCCAGTCTCTCCTGTCCAACGAGACCTACGAGCAGGTTGCTGGCAGCCAGGTTGTCGGCGCCGTCGCTGAGGACGACTCCGTGACCTTCTACAGCGCCCTCAAGGCCGAGTCTACTGTCACCCAAGCCGTGAGTGCATAATCAGCCCCTATTGCTTCATGAGTGTAGCTAACGTCTCCCACAGGACCTCGAGTTCGCCGGTGGTGTTATTCACATCATCGACAAGGTTCTGGCCATCCCTGCCAACGTTGCCGACACGGCCACCGCTGCCAACCTCACTTCGCTCGTCGAGGCTGTGACCAAGGCCAACCTCGCCGAGACCCTCACTCAGGCCGAGAGCATCACGGTTTTCGCCCCCAACAACGAGGCTTTCGCCGCTCTGGGCTCCCTCGACGATATCAGCGAGGATGACCTCCAGGCCGTCCTGCAGTACCACGTCATTGCGGGTACCGTTGCCTACAGCAGCACCCTTTCCGAAGGCACCGTTGAGACTCTTACTGGCGAGACCGTCAACATCTCCATCCGTGACGGCAACGTCTTTGTCAACGATGCTCAGGTTGTCCTTGCCGATGTCCTTATCTCCAACGGTGTCGTCCACGTCATTGACAGGTACGTTCTTTCAGAGTTCCATTCTCGCATTCCATCTTGTTGACATGATAATCTGCAGCGTCCTCTCTCCCGCCGAGAACACTGCCGGCTCTGGCGAGACCAGCTCTGCCGTGCCCTCGCCCACCGCCGTCCCTGAGGCTGCAGCTCCCCGTGCCGAGGCTGCCATCGCCATTGGCGCTCTTCTCGGTGGCGCTGCTCTCGCTCTGAACATGTAAACGTTGCCAACGCCATGGTGTAGAGACTCTGGGAAAGCGTGTCAAGGAGACGTTGTTCGTTACCTCGGCAGGGATATAATGGGAATGGCAGAGTGACACGACGATGACAAGTTGTCCATGGCATCTTGTTGTGCATGCTGTACACGTAGCGATTGAACATGACATTTGGATTGAAGATGATGTTTGCCGAAGCCAGAAAAGAATTGCACGTGAATTGTTTTGCCACACACCAAAAGTGCTGTGTACCAGAACCGACTGCAACCGACGTAACGGGCATCTAGGGCGTCTTCCCGAGAGATCGAAAAGAGGCGGGTTATCGTTGGAAACGAGTACCTGTGTATGACAGTTGTGAGACCAAGCATTGCGAGGTCTCATGTCTAGTAGGACAAGAATCAAAAGACCAGCTCCAGATGATTCCTGAGCAACATCTGACGGGATGCCATGTGGTACTAGATCGTAGGCATAAAATAACAGGTTTCAACACGAAGATGCCATCGAGCTCTCTGGAGTAGCTCAGATGCACCAGTAAAACTGGCGCGTGTTGCACAAGCATCGGATGCAACCTAGGTGACAGGGAAACACAACACGCAGGGCGTTGCATGATCCAGCGTTTTCTGCACGCAGCGGGAATACTGCTTCCAGCGCAGCTCTGATCATGCATCTGCTGCGTAGTAAATCGGCCTCGCATGCGTCTGCTGTGTCACGTCTTGAGTGCCCAAAACCATCACATCATGTCAGGGGGTGGGCCTTTGGGGATCGACGTGGCTCGGTGGATCGCCCTGTAGGGCTGGTTCGCTGTGGGGATGGAGGGGGGAAACATGGAAACATGTGGACAAGTCCCTGACCAGGCTGAGCTTTGGCCCTTCAAGAACGTCCTGGGTCGCCTTGCACATGGCATGGCGACAACTTCACCGGACGGGTTCACGAACACATCACGCGGGCCTCATCCTCGGCGATCGGAAAGTCAAATGTTTTGGAACGACATGTATTACTATTTCCCACCTCCGAGTGTGGATGCCAAGGTGCACTCCTCACAGCAAAAGACGCTATCGTTTATACCATCCGAATGCGGCTTCATGCCAAGTCCCCTCGAAATGCTCCGTAAAACGCCTCGCCAAGCCTCCTGAATTTCCGCGTGAGCCCCCGGCCCATTTTTTTTTACAGAAGGAAAACAGCACCGACGAGACCGGCAGCCGCGGCAAAAGCGGACATGCCCATGCCTCTCGCCGCGGCCGACTCGCTGTCGCCAGAGTCCGTGACGGTGGGCAGCGCCGTCTCGAGCGCGACGGTGGAGGTCGAGTTGGCCGAGCCGGTGAACAGGATGGTGCCGGCGGGCGTGCAGACGTCGGCGGCGGCGGCCGAGTCGACCTTGAGGTGGTCCTTGCAGTCCTTGAGCAGCTTTTCCATGCTGCCCTCGGCGCCCTGGGCCCAGTCGGCGAGCTCGGTCATGTACTCCATGAGGTCCTCCGACAGCGACGAGTGCACGGTCCAGAGGCACGACTCGGTCTGCGACACGACGGCGTCCTCGACGTCGGGGGCGGGCGTGGGCGCCGACCCGAGGATGGACCTGGCCGACGTGAGGCACTCGCCCGCGTCCTGGCGCGCGACGATGACGTTGCTCGCGGGCAGGCTTTGGAGCTTGATGTTCTCGAAGATGCGCACGGCATGGACGACCTCGACCTCGGCCGTGGCGGAGGCGGCGGCGAAAGCCAGAAGCAGAACGGCCTGGTTGAGCATTGTGTTTTTGTTTGATGTTGGGGTGCTGGGACTGAGGATGCGTGTGTGGTAGTTGTTCTGTTGGGTAGATGAAGAAACTGGTGATGGAGACGTTGGGTTGATAAGTCGATTGCTGCGTGATACACAGGACCGAGTGATGCTTGCGTCTCTGGACTTATATACCTGGAGTCCTTGCCTGCTGTGCCGCGCATCTCAGGTCGCTTCGGCCGGCCTCACGCGCCCGTTGGCCTCCATCGTTAAACTGCTAGCGTGACGGAGCCTGCAAGGGGCCGATCAAGCTCGTTCCACCAGGAGACACCAAGGCCAGCCCAGTCGGGCTGTTCATGAGCGGCGCAGCGAGGCCACCCAGAGACAGCGGCATGTGAGTCAATCAATGTGGCGGCGGGAACTCGGTCATAGCCCCTTGCACAAGACCGCGTTGGACCTCACTGTCTGCCTGCGGCGAAGCAACTGGTTGCCATGCATGGGCCGATCACTGGGCCTGCCAAGGCACCTTCGCCACGACCAGAATGGGTATGAAGGATCACGGGGTCGCGCTTCCTGGGCAGCACTGCAAACGCATACTCCACTACAACCGTTTTTCTTATTTTTAGCCGAAATAACCAACTTCCCATATTGGATGACCGACAAGTGTTTGCTGTCTGGTTGCGGGTCCCGGACGCCAATGGACTGGACTGCATGGCGATCAACTTTTCTTACCCGCCTATGTCGTAGGCACCTCAGAGAAAAGATGACTCTTTTCGCCGGTCTTTTGCGCACTTCAATCCGCGCGACCAGGTCGTTGAGGACAATAGACGCCGCAATTTACCGAACCTCGCATTTGCCCATCACAGAGAGTGGGCAGAGGACGAGACGGGGACAAGCCAACCCTGAATGCTTGAAGGGATGCCATATCGCCAAGTCACCCTAGAAGCAACTAATAAGATGGAGAGTATGGCGGTCACGGCCCCCTGGTTCCCAAGCCTGCATCGGGCCTGAAGGTGGCTGGGGAACAATTCAAGACTCCAAGTGAGCTCCATTGCAGGCGCTCCACCCTCGATTCTGCCTTCTGCCGACGCGGGAGAATGGTGCAGGGTAATGTCGTAGGTTCAAAATTAGCCATGCCGGGCACGTGTGTGTAGGTCTGACATATCAGCATAGGGGGCTGCGCGCTCTCTGTTCGCAGCCTCCCAATGTGCCTTGTCGCATCGGGTGGCACGCGAAGGATCAGACTAGCGCTCGTTCGAGGTACGCCACCCACGCCAGCCAAGCCTTTCTCATGGCGCGCCGTTGAATAGGGCTGACCACCTAACCGCGTATATGCGAACCAGCGATTGGCATTGACGAGCAGTCGGCCCATCTCCAGCAGACGACGAGACGGACTAGGACCGAAGTGGGTGCAATCTTCGAGCTGGAGCTTCAAGCGGTGAAATCCGACGACCACTTGAAGAAGAAGAAGATAGATCCATGTAGCGCTGGGCCCGAGAGGATGTTATGCAGTCTGTTTCTATGCGGTATGCCGTCTTCCTGGGCTGCGTCGTTATGTACGTGCAGCCGGAAATACATCTCGTCGTGGCGCTGCCCCTACCGGAGGATTCCTGGCCCTGCGATGCTCCAGAGGCGCATTGCCATGTCCCAGATTCTTGGTTTTCTGACGAAATGCCCGGCGAGGCCCCCATCTGCGGCTCCTGCAAGCTGACGCCTGAAGGAATAGTCTGCCAGGTGGAATCCGGGGTTGTCTGGGCACAGGCGTGCAACGCTGTCGCCATGCGAGTGTGTCTTGAAAACGGCTCAAGGAGGGATGATGAACGTGTGGCACTACCTTGCCGCACAATTGGTGAGCTTCGTGGCCAATGTTCGACCCAACAGCTTCAGCTTTCGTGAACAACCTGCGAGTGGACAGATTTAGTTTCTGCTTTTCCAAAGCCGCTTGCAAACTTGGCTTCCAAATGAAGCCATAACCCACGTGAGATTCGGACCATCGACAAGCAAAAACAAAACATACAACACCAGGGATTCGCCGGTGGTCACCCACCCGACTACTGGTCTGGCCCTCACTGGTTTATCGATGGGAGAGCGGACGGGATCCCGAGCTTTCCAGTAGGTATGGTCGTATGTGCTGAACAGAGGGTCTTCTGGCGTTCATCTAGACTGTGATGCTGGTGGTGATGTCTGGGTGCAGGGTCAAAGGGTTGCGGCAGAAGCTAACCACAGCGGACGTGATGTGCTGACTGACAAAGACGCGACAGCAGGTACGTTTCCTGCACCGAAAGTTCTCAGACCACCGCTGCGTCCCGCTTATTGGCCAATCGCAATTTGAATGATTTCGACCATTGTCTGGTGACGTCGACGGCGAGATGGGAACTTGGTCAAGAAGCATTTCACGTTGGTACATCGATTGGGGGCTGTAACTGTGCTTACTGTGCCCACTGTGGGGGCTTGGGCGCCAATAATCGCCCCCAATGGTTCCTACGCCTCATTGCCCGATTCGAGCGACGGCCGGCATGGTACGCAGTCGCTTTCGGAGAGTCAGTGCGCTTTGAGCGTGTTCATGGTCTCGAGGGGCTGGAAATCAAGGTTATGTTGAAGCAGAGCAATGACCCCGCAAAATTGGTATGTCACGGGAATTGATATGGGGGATTCATACTGTAGCTACATAAAACTGTTGTATATTGGCCGCGTCGCCTCGCATGCGGATGCTTTACCCACGACTACGCATTTGCAAAGCAGCAGTGGAAAGCGTATATAATCCAGGCCGGGACGCGGTGCAACCTGTTCGTTATGATTTCTCATGCTACCAACCCATCTAAAGCTTCCACACCTGGAGGTTCCTGTATCGGGCCACCAACGGCGACATCTGGCGGAAGCCAATGCGGCCGTCGCGAACGACGGGCCCAGTCGACTTGTCGTCGCGGAAGGAGAAGAGGGGCAGGTCGTTGACGAGGAACTGCACATCGCGCTTGTCCTTTGATGACGGTGACGCGGTAAAAGGGGCCCGCGGCGTCGACGACGGGGGGGAATGGGGTCGGCCGCCCTGGGCGACCGAGGTTGAAACCGGGCGACTTGCGCAGGTTGGCGACGTGGAAGGGCGCGCTCCTCGGGCCAGCGGCGGCGGAAAGTAGGACGCGTGCAGCGTGCGAATGTCACTCGAGTGGTACTGCGGGTACTGGCCGTTGCGGGGCTTGAGGCCCTTGTCGAAGATGCTGCCGCCGGCGACCGAGGCGGCGCCAAAGAAGAAGATGGCGAGGCCGGGCTCGTTGCGGGGCGAGAACTCCCAGGTGATGCGGATGCGATCGGGGAAGACCTCGGGCGCCCAGAAGACGAAGTGCTCGTCAATGGTACCTCCGCCCGAGAGCTCGAGCACGCCGTCGACGGCCGTCGCGTTGACGGGACCTTCGGCCACCCAGGTCGCCACGTCCGCGGTCGAATTGAGCGGGTTGCTGTAGAGGAGCTTCTCAGCGGCCATGGTCGGCGCAATGAGGGCCAAAGCCCAGAGGAAAGATGCCTTCATCGTGACGAGTCGACGCGGATGTGGGCGGGCAGAGGCAGTCGAGTGGCAATCGTGAAGCAGGCACGACCTTGGAGGGACCGACGGTGACGAGCAGGGGCCGGTTGAGAAGCAGCTCTTGCCAAGATGATGTGCGTGCCCCCTCCAGTCTTTATTATACCTTCCCCGGACGAAAGCATCGCACATCCGGAGAGCGACATTGGGCAGAGAGTGAAGGTGCAGGGACAAGGGGATCGTCGTTGCGTCGGTGTACTCCAAGCCGAATGACCGAGTGGCGGGAGTTCGTCATGCTCGCGTGCTGTAGGCAAGTGCCGGACTAAGCTCATCCAGGGCGATTGACCCGTAATTGGGGTTCTGTCATTGCAAGCCAAGAAGGTGCAATTAATCAAAGATGCACTTGTCATTCGACCAACGGTCATACTCTACTCGGGACCCTGCAGCTTTGTCCCACATGGTGCAATTGACCCCTCCAACCCGAGGACCGTTGATGAACTGCTCTTCGACGATCAACGAGGAGCATACTTGTCTGGCCGGAATGGTCGGTGCCCATTTTCCTACAGTTGAGTTCGCCTCCGACCACCAACCCGCCCCGTGTGTCAACCACGTGGCTGTGACCACACGCCTGCGGCCATGCAGCCGACGACGATGCCTGCATGTGCGTGGCCAGCAGGTCAACACAGACCAGATCCCCATGTCTCAGATCGAGAGGGCTGGTGAAGATGCAGTTACGATCCATCCAGAAGAAGCCACACAACTAGCACCAAGATGCCCACTTCAAAAGCTCGCCATCGTCGTAATGTCCTCATACTGAGCAAACGGTTAATCCCGCGGCTAGACCGGCGTCAAGGCGCGAAATAGTTAAGGTCGATTCGGAACTGTGCTGATAAGACCTTATCGAGCGGCTAGCATGCAGATGAGCTCTGGCTTAGAGACGCATTTCGGATACGTCAGATCTGTGGTCAGGTTTCGAAGAGTGGCAAGATTGATCCCCCGAGAAGTTGTCGACATTGGACATGAAAGCTCTTGACTTACCATCCAAAGTAATGACGGCGGGCTCGATGTGGGCGAGAAGTCACTCCAGTATCAAGAGCTTCTAGCACGACCGAGACATATGGCATAATAGAAACACATGGTGGGATGCGATGGCAGTCAGAATCCGAGGCTGCTCTGTCACGGTAATCGTAAAAGTTTATGTATTCCAGCACAGAGGCGGTCCATCTGACTAGAGAACCCCCCCCCCCCTTTCCCATGAACAGTAATATTCAACGAAGATGCTACCATGATCCGTGGTCTGGAGAAGCATAGCGAGACGTTTCCCGGCACCTGGTTCAACAGCGGCTGACAATTTATATGAAGGAGATGTATTGGAGATCATGCCATGGGAGGCGTAATCGGAAACCCTGCCCTTATTCTGGTGTTGAAGTCTCTTCGTCGACGGAGCCGTTGTGAGAGGACCGCCGTTGTGGGCTTGCAAGTATTCTCTTGCAATCGGAATGATGAGTGAGTTTTATTGGAGGTCTCAGTATCGATTCC